ATATAAAAAAATATATAAATATATTGTAACCCTCCCCCTAGAGAGGTTATAGTGAACCTAATGAGGTTTTTAAATAAATTTCTAGTTTACAATATTAATAAGAACATAAATATAAAAAAATTAAAAATATTTTTAAAAATATCGCCTCTTCCTAGAGGGGCTATAGTGGTACAGTTTTAACGCCGGATCCGAACGGCGCTGATGATCATAGATCTTTTAATCACCAGATAATTGTTTCACTTCTTAGGGGCTGCGCAGAATCTATTTTTTTTTATATTTATGTTGTTCTTATTAATATTGTAAACTAGAAATTTATTTAAAAACCTTATTACCGCTCGATTTAAACCATTTTTCTTTATACTTTGCATTGCAAAAAACGAGCGAAATCTAATTAATTATTACTTTTTTCTTACTTCAAATTCACAGTCCTATGTGTGCATGTGTCAATCGAACCCTGTACATAATCTTTATATCCTCCCACTGCTTCTACCAAAGGATTTATAAAATTATCTAAGAATTTACGTAGCCCTAACCGAACTATCAACTTCAACAAAAACGTTCTGTGATACAGTCGAGTAGTTCGAAATTTTGCAAGCATCCCCGCAGGTATTATATCAACGTACAATGCAGTATCCATAATAGAACCGTTTTCATATAGTTTTGTAATAGGTGAAAGGAATGTATTAGCTGTATCCTTCGGTCCTAATGTTCTGCGACAAAAAATGAGAAAAATGAAAAAAATCGAATAACGTATTTTATCAAAAAAGTAAAATAGTAATACACACTCACTTTGCAATCGGATCAAAAAGATGCCATACTCCCAATACCGCACTATAAGGTTCTTCCATAATCTGCATTATGTGAGGCACTATCAACTGTAACGTGGCTTCTCTCATGCCGCCAGCATAAGGTAATAGTCGTTCTAATTCTCTAGCAATTGCTTTTACTTTACACTCGCTAATTTTACATAAATACTTTGTCTTTGTTTTTATAGTAAAATTTATGTCGTCCTCGGTCTTCACGATAGCATTTAATTCTCGTATCAAACTATTATATTCTTGCAACATTTCCACAATGTTGTATAAGTATTGGCAGTATTTGGAGAATGGAAACAGACTGCCAGATAAAATTGGTTGAAGAAATTGATGAGCAGATGGTGGTGGAAGACCCATGTATGTTATTGTCGGATAACGAAAAGGAGTCTCATTCATCTAAACATAAAACATTTTACTTATACAGGATGTTTCATAACATGTCAGTATAACTTCAGAAATTAATTCAGAACACAAAAATAACATAAAAAGTATATAAATATTTGTTCGATCTGATTTTGTTTCCAAGTTATAAACGTTTTCATGTTTTATTAATTTTCGTTAAAAATTAAGCTAGCAGTGTCTTCACACATTTCTGTCTTTAAAGAAGTCAATAAGACGTGAATAGGGATGAAAACATTATGCTCAATTCGTAACAAGGATTAATAAAACACGAAAATATTTGTAACTTAGACACAAGAATAAAACAAAAATGTATATAAACTTTTTATTATTTTTATATTCTGAATTCAGTTCTCAAGTTATGTTCATATGTCATGAAGCATCCTTTATATTATAATAAATTCTTCAATATAGGGGACAGTGGTCTAAATCGGACCTATTTGCAGTTTTTGTTCTCTATAAGGCGTAAATAAAGTCCGATCATAAAACCAATGGTGCCGTTCGAAAGATCATTTAATTTCCTTCATTTTTGCTTCAGACTATTTTGACGTCTCTTACCTGTGTCAAACTATAATGGAACTCATATAGTTCCAAATCGAACCTCTCCTATTTTTATGGATAGAATTTTAAAATATTTTAATTAATTTTTGTTAATATTGAGTAAAAACAAGCAATTTAAGACTCGAAGATAAAAGTGTACAGTTTATATTATTAGAATTAAAATTAATAAAAAAATCCCATCAATCTGAGTCTGATGACACTGCATATTTTATTGATTTAGTGTTCCTTAGACCAGATCTGGTCGATCACCAGTGCTACAACCAGGTTGTGGCGAACTTTCTTTCTTCGATAAATTTACTGGGTTACTCGTCTTTTTAGTGTTTTTTGTATGGGTCCGATTTAGACACCCAAAGAGAGGTCCGATTTGAACACGGGTTCTTTCGAACGATTGGAACAAATTTTATAATAAACCGCAAAAGTACTTGATATTTTTGAATTCTACACTCTTTAATTACCTTAAATTAATTGTTCAAAATTTTAAATAATCTTTTAAATAATGATTTACAATTTTTCTTTTTTAAAAAAAATTTCGCATAATAGCCGAAAATACATATTTGCATCTATTCTATGAACATTATGACAGAATACTGCCAAACTGCTGTCACATGTTCGATGTTTTATGAGGACTTTACATTATAAATAGTACGCACACAAATCTGCTTAACCGTATTTATTTAAATTAAAAAGGTTTAATTTGAGACATGGTCCGATTTAGGACATCTCCCCTATACTGTAATAAAATGTAAAATCTTTCAGAATTATAAATAAAGATTTAACTGACTAATAGAACTCACAGAAACAAATAAAAAATTTTAATAAGCATAAATCTGTAAACCAATTATTGTCAACATATTGAGCTTTTTATAAATTACAATATTTATAATATATGTATTATAAAATAATTAATGTTTTAATTTGAAGCATATCAAAATTTAGATATTGAAAATGAATAGTCCAAAAAATTTTAAAAGTTTTTGAATGAATATGTTTATATACAAAGATATGTGATAAAGTATATATATAACACACATAAAAAATGCGCTAATAGTTAAAACATTATTTTAAATCTATATCCTTGATGAGTTTCCAAATTGCTAATAATTCAAATTCTCTAAAATCTTACCAATTTCACAATATATATATAAAACTTTTCTGTTCAATTTAACTAAGAAGAAGCATCAACTATAATCAAAATAACATTGGAATAAGCCTATATATAATTTATTTTAAATACATTAAAAATAAGTGCAGATATATGTCTCTAAAATAAATATAATTTTAAAATAAATTATATATAAAATTATTTTTCCACACATGTATTTTGAAAGTAATTTGGCGCTTTTTCTTATTTTATTAGTTGATTTATTTATATCGGTCTTGTTTCTAACTTTCTATTTAATTTTGTAAGTTTTATTAATCAATTAAATCTTTATCATAATATTGTAAACATCTTATATAATATATAATATATTATAAAACATCTTATATAATATAACATCTTGTAGAATTTTAAAATTACCGTTGAAATGTCATTCATCTCTATATTGCCTACATTATAACTCTTTGGCATAATATCAATTTGTAATAATAAAGATACGATGTTTCTTATACATTTCGGTAAATTATCTGCTGATGTCTTCAAGATATTTAGACATGTCGTGATCCTTTGCGCGAATAATACTTTTTCAACATTCCAGGTTGCGCGGAATTTGTCGGCTAAAAATATTTCTACTATTAGACAACCTAGTATTTGTAGCTCCTTAATACGTCCACTAGCCACAATTTGCTTGTAATTTGTGGAAATATCGTGTGATCCTGTTGCAAGTTTATAATTTTGATGGTTAATCTTATGCATAAAAGCATGTGTAGTTTCTACTTGTATAAGTGCCGCAATAGGGTTGAAATCCTTTGGAAGAGTAATGGGCTGATTAATAGATTTATCCGACTTAACATTATCTTCTGACAGCAAAGAACCTCTAGAACGACTCAATAAACGACTTAATACAAGAGGTGACGATCTTGATACGTTCGTTATTGTCGCAGATAATTCTTCTTCTTCAATACCAGAACTGTGGCCTTCATCGTCACTGATCTTACTCGTAGGTTGATCACTTTCTATAATCATGTAACAATTTGACAAAATTACAAGAATGTTTTCACAAAATTTATAATAATTTGAAATCTTTGTCTAAAAACTTACTACTTTTATTGGTTAAAGATATCGATCGAAGACGCGGTGGTACTTTACCCCAATAGGGAGACGGAATAATTTTTTGTGGATGTGGTTGTGTGAAAAGTTGTACAATACCAGAATTAATTAAATCAGTATGATTATCGACTAATTGTAAACAAACATTTTTTGATTTTATAGCAGCGAAACCAGATAATCTATCGTAAGAAACATATATGTCAGAAAAATTCAAATAAATAATGAATTGTTCATTGGACAAGATTACGTTCGTACTTGTAGCCGAAGGTCAAGTCTATCCAATGATGTAATCTTTCTGAAACATAAAAACTTTCCAATGCCTCTCTATGTTTCTCGATAAAATCTTCTGGAGAAGTTGCCCATGCTGGAATTTCTAAATCTAGCAAATCCTCGTGGATGGACTGTAAATAAAACATATCTTAAAAATATTGAACCTAAAGCTATTTTATCATTATTAAATAACAATATATTACATACATCAACTTTTTTTACTTTCTTTACACTGGGACTTAAAAACATGTTTCAGACGTAAATTTTTTAAAATGGCAGCGCGAGCGGCAGTTTGCCAAATTGGAAAACTTGAGGTATTCAATAGGACACCAGACTTTAAAATATATTTAAAAATCATGACCAGATCTCTTGCAAGCAGAAAGTACATTTTGATTGGACCAATATACACAATTTATATATTACCTTAAAAACACTAGGATCAGTGAAAAATTGTGGGATACATTCATCGGGGCTCCAATCATGTAATCTTTGAATTGAAGCTGGATATTCTCCAGGTACCCATAATGGTCGTACATGTTTACAAAGAACAGATTTACTATATCGACGTGAGAGATATACATAGTAGGTAATCTCTGACAAGACGTCAGATACATGATGTCCGACCTATAATTTAATTAAATATTCAATATAGTATAAGTCTTTTTGTATTTATACAATTTATATACCTCTGTTGATTGTGAGTCAAATGTAAGATCCAATTGTCTATCCCCTTTGTTTAATCGAAATTTCGACTTTGTTAAATCTCTCCAGTTACCACCACTTCTTGTTGTAAAATCTGTCACCCATGGCATAACATGATGGCAGCTAGGATTGCCGTATCTCCTACCAGCCAAATTATTGAGCGCAGTTAAATAATCAAAGTTGCTAATACAATTATACATCCACATCTCGCATAATTTTTCAATATTCTCATTTAAACCAAAGTCAGTATTAGTTGAACGAAGTATATCATCTTTTTTACCGTAAATATTGCTATTTGAATTTTTCTCTTTATGTTCTTGAGAAATATTTATACATTCGCTATCAGGTTTTAAATAAATATTATCATTTATCTTTGGTAATACCTATAAGAATAAAATTAGCTCAAATAAAATATTTTTTTCTCTTTTATCTTATTGAATATTTGTTAAATATTTAACTTGTTTTATTAAATATTAATTACGCTAAAATAATATTGTTTACTGTATAAGTAGCTCTACTATGTAACATATACCTGAATAGTAAAATTATCTGTAATTAATATGTCACTAAGTGTAATCTCGCCTAATGCAAGACCACGATCGTGCAAGTCTCTGGATAATCTTAATAACTGATAAATTACAAATAAAGGTTTTCCATAACTTGCATTAAGAGCGGCAGGACTGTACATTACACACCTAAAATTAACATTTATAATAGAATGCACAAATATCTTGTAATTATTATGTATTAAAAATATATAAATAAATATAATGTCTATACTCACTCACGAAGAGAATAATTGGCAGTCTGTTCATAAAACATTATAAATGCAGATGATGTTTCTATGACAAAATGAATTGGTACCAGATTACAATGCGTTTTAGACATTATACCATTTGATATCGATAAAACTGTCCCATGTTGCACTTGTACTACTGTGCAACCATACATTCTATTCAGTATTTCATGCATAATAGTAACATCGTTTACATTAGCACTGATATTAGAATGTTCTTTTTGTTCAACAAAATTCCAGGGATCTACATATTTTACAAAAAATTGTTAATTTATATTAAAAAAAATACAAAAGTACAAAAATAGTGAAATTTTAAATTTCTTATTTAAATTAAAAAATTTTAAATGACATGTCAAATACATACTGTAATACTTCTTGTACATTTCTTTCCATAAATTTCGATAATTAGTCTCTGCCACATAATGCAGCAATTGTGAAAACATTAACTCTGCCTGGTTCCTTATATTACTAATAGATCTTCCTCTCGGTAAAGGAATTACATTTCTGTGTTGTTTTATATATACCTAATGACAATGAAATTTTATCTTATGTGTTTGTTATCTTATTGTACACCATAATTAAAACATGCAAAAATGTTAAAAATACTTTTGCATAAATTTTCAGCCAATCGCTACCCAATTCATCGATAGTGGGCTGTGCCGCAATTTCATCATTGGACAAACGATCATGACTGATAAAATTCAATGGGCCAATTGATAAAAAACGAGACAGCCAGTTTCTGTGAGCTGTCAAACAAATTCTATCGTCTGTCAGAATCATATATTTCGTTGGTACAAGCAGATGTTCCTTTATTATATCCATTTTGCTTTGTATTTATTGTCTATTTATCTGTAAATAAAGAGGTAATTGTTCAGTTTAGCAGCGTCACTTCAGAAATCGACGACATTAGGCTTATTCGACGCGTTTTTGCCCGAAATGAACAAAAACTTTGGTCAACAATAGCATTGTTCTGCAAATAGAGATATCAAGTTAAAATTGGTGACTATTCAGGTTAGAAAATCTATCAGTCGCAAAATAATGCAATGCGACCACAGACCATAGATTTACATATTACACTAGATTGCTTAAAGTATGTATCATTAAAAGAAATTTTCATGTGATGCAAGGTTTGAGCGTCAAAACTGGTCATTAATTTTGATATTTGAATTTCCACGCTAGAAGTAGCATCGAAAACGTCTACGCTGATCTACGCTCGACACGTAAATTCTTTTTCGTTGTGTGCAAATTTATTTATCAACAACGTCGAAAAAGAACTTTTTCTTTACATCCATGCATAATTTGTGGATCACGATCACTTTCAACGATACGATTTTGGATGCGGTCCACTTGACGCTACAAACAGCTACAAATGCTTCGAAGTTTTTAATTGACCAATCGAGAGAAACAATTTTAATAATTGACCAATCAAAAAGTGCGTCAAAGCATTCGTAGTATCAAGTGGACCGTAGCCTTTATCGACGTGTCACAATACAGAGAACAGAGAATAAGAATTTCAACCTATCAGAAATCATATACTGTGGAATAAACAGTGTGTATTCCATAGTACATGATTTCTGATAGGTTGAAATTCTTATTCTCTGTTCCCTATTCCCTGTTTCTTTTATTTTGCGTAGCCTTAAGCCTATTTTACAATGGGCAGTAGAAATCAACAAATCATAATCGAATGAGAGGAGAATAATTAACTATTAATGGTCGATTTCTACGTCTACTTTTTAATTCACTACTGCTACTGCCCATTGTAGAATGGGCTATAAGCTAAAGGTCGTTTCATGTTGACGTTTGACGCTCATTTTTCTTTACATCCATGCATAAGCGTCAAAATAGGTCACGTGATTAAAATTGACACTTGCTATTCGTCAATTCTTATCACGTGATCTGCTTTGACGCTGAAAATGAGCGTCAAGCGTCAGCATGAAAGACTTGTTGTTGTTGCTCCAGTTGCTTATTATAAGCAGCACGTGATTGTACCTTTAGATACAGAAAACAGACTTTGAACTCGCCTATTGATAACGACTGATTAGAATTTGCGTTAATTGGAATTGGAGAAAGAAATCCTAATATTTTAATTTTGGAATTGATTATAACACAATTATGGACACACGACTGAACATTATAGAACGCTGTTATACTTACATGACTTATAACCAGGATTGGGTAAGTTACTTTTTTTTTTGACTAAGTTAAGTTAAAGTTAACAACCTTGAAAATTTAACTTAGTTAAGATACAAGTTAATGTATAATGAAATTAATTGAATTAAAAGTTAAGTTAATAAAAAAATGTAATTGAAAAGTTAAAAGTCAAAAATTTTTTTTTCATGTGATTTCAGGGTTTCAGTCTTAATAAGTGACAATAAAACAAAAACTATTTAGATTTTAGAACATATCCAAAATTTTATTATATTAATATTTTTTATAATAATATATATATTTTATAATGTTTTGTTTCATATATATGTGTGTATATTCTATTATCAATGTCAACACTCATTGCGTTTTTGCACAAAACCTCAAACTATTATTAGAATCGAATGCCATAAATGCAGCAGCAAACTACAAGTGACTACAAGCTACTGCAAGCTGCAAGTCCTGCACGTTAGACCCAGTGATGCAAACTTGTGTCTGCTTACGGACAATAAAGAGTCTCTACTTGCAGGTACAGATCCTATAATAAGAGTTTGAGGTTTTGTGCAAAAATTCGCGAAGGCGCTGATAGTGTGCTGCAAGCCGGCCGGAATTCGTATCTTTCGTTACGTATGGCTCGTATTGTGTCTGACATTTAACTTTAAAAAAACAATAATAAAAAGTTATTAGTTACTGATAACATGTAACTAAATAAAGTTAAAAAGTTAGGAGTCTAAAATGTAACTGAGTTAAGTTAAAATTAATTAACTTTTTAACTTTGTTTTTAATTTTTAACGTTTTAACTAGTTATATTACCTATATAACCCTGCTTATAACAGAAAAGTGAATATAAATATGTATATTGCTAATTCTCTACATAATGAGTCGCTAGTCTGAAGTCTTAATCTTAATCGATGAATTTGATCAATCAGCATTAGTCTTACAAGTTGATTATTGGTCCACTTCACTGATTAAAACTAAGACTTCTGACTACCGACTGATTGTAGAATCAACATATAGCATGCATATATGAATATACTATTACTAACTTTTAAAAAGTTATAATATTAATTGGCAAATACCTTAGTCTGTTATTTTTGAAATATAATTCTATTTATTTTTAGGTACTGGACAAAGAAATATTTAAGTTAGCAGATGAAATTAAATTTACAGATGTTAACAATTTTTCAGAAAGGTAAACAAATTTATATTTCTGGGATATATTTTAAAATATCTTCCTGAGGAAAATTTGACTTAAAATATATAGTATAATATATGTAACATATTATAGTATATAGAGTAAAATTTTCCTTTTGGAAGATTGGTTTTGGTGATGGTTTTGAAATGTAGCTCTAAAATATAAATATAGGTAATTGTTGAGTCTCCTTGGCAGAGGCAAACTTTTTTCTGTCAGAAAATTATTGATTATTTTATATAAAAACATGTTGAATCAGGCCAATTTTGACAGACGTGAGATAGCTTGGTTCAACAATTACCTAAATATAATAAAACTTGTATTCTCATATTTTATTTTTAATTATGTATTTACAGATTTCTTAAAACAGCATCTGTAATAGAAAAAAATTTATCTCTTTTTCAATCAAGATATGCACATGTAGATAAAATTACTACTGTTATTGAATACTTAAATAATATTGGTATGCAGCTTATGTTTGACAATAAATACGGTAATGTTGTCTTCATATTAAAAAATTTATTATTTGTGTTATATATGCAATTTTATTTTATGAATAATTAGCTTATAATAGAAATATTAAATATTTTTATATTTCATTTTAACTTTGTTTTCTTTTTTAGAGGAATACAAGAAAGATGATATAGTCTTATTACTGATATTTACAATCGCAATAATATATAAAAGTCATAATGATATAATTACTCCATTTTTGGAAAATGCTATCCTGTAAGCATATTCCTTTTCGAATACGTTAATCATTTTGTTACTTATATTTCTTATATTTAAATTAATATTGTTATCAATTTCATAAATTGTTTTTGTATTTTAGTAAAAATTCTACACTGGAGACTCAATATAAACATTTAAAAGATGATGTTAGCGTAGGTAAGGAAACATATTAGTAATGTAATAAAAAGTAACTTTTTTCATATTCAAGATTATAAATATTTCTGACAGGCTTCCACAGTGAAATAATACTTCTAGCGGATTCCGATTTGTATGCAGCTATTAATTACTTAAAAAATGAGTCTTTTCTGGAGTTTTTAAATAAAATTTGGATCCAAGAATCAATAAAAGAAAAATTTTTATGGTTTATAAAAAAATATTTTGAAGTATCAGCTTCGAGATTTTCCATACTTCGTTACAATTCCATACTCCATAAAATTCAAACATTTCGAGCAAAGAATGAATTATTACATACTATAGTCTGTACACCTAATAGAATAAACATTGTATCTATATGGACGGAAGATATTGTATTTGCTAAAAACTTAGCAACATCTTTAACATCTTTAAATGTATACTATTTCCATTATATAATGTAGTCTTTTAGGCAATTTTTCTAATTATTACTAATGTTATTTCTATTTTTTTTTTAATTATGTAGACAGACATCGTATTTATAAATACGTACATGGACTTCCATAATGGTGTTGTGCTTTTGCCTTATACGAAAATACTTGATGAAACATTGCATAAATGGTTTAAGTCTAATTATGACGATTGCTGTATAAAAAAACTAAGTATACAGAAAAGTATAGTTCATGATTTATTTTATGATGGTATGTGGCAGCAACCTGTAAAAAATACATATTGGACACATAATGATAGTCAATGGGCAAACGCGACAAGGTATAGTATATTTTTTTATTTTAATTATAATTCTCTTAAATTTATGATGCTTAATAACAAAATTTATGTAAAATTTTCATTGATATGTTATTGTAGTGTAGATATTAACAGATGTATTGATTCAGCTGGTAAAGGATTTCAAGTTTGGAGTACTAAATCTATTACTTATAGAACGCAAGTATTATTCCAATTTGCATCTATATTAAGATATAACGGGTATGTATTAAGTTATTAAAAAGTTTTTACATAGTTTTATAATTTTTATAATGCTTAGTTTGTGTATTTCTGCACTTAAAATTTTTACTAATTTTCTCATACATGTATATATATTTTTTAGTAAATCTGCATTGGCAGATTTAATATCATCAGATATAGAAAAATTCTCGTATATCTGTCAAAATTCTCTATCGTGTTCACAAAAAGGAAGATTAGAAGTAACGAAAATTCGTAATTCAAAGGGCGTTGTTATTTTGAAGGAGGAAGATGAAACTGTTTTATTTTGTCGACTAATTCAAATTTTAACTTTTGGTAATTCTGTTATTGTAATATGCAATACAAATTCCTATAGTTTGGCACCATATTGTAATATGTTTTCGACATCTGCAATACCACCAGGTGTTATAAATTTGTTGTCAAATGAAGATATAAAAAAACTAGAATTAGCTTTATGTGGAACAAACTATGAAAGGTATGCAGAACAATTTTTCTCAGAAAACAACATTGAAAAAATATACATGAACCTTACCATACCCAAACAAATTATACTTCCACTTAAATAGTTTTAATTATAATATTAAATGTTTTTTTACAAAAGCATATATATATATATATATAATTATATATATGCATATATATGTACGTATAAATATTATATCATAATATACAAAAACTTATTTTCAAATTTATTTTACAATTTCGATGGAAGTGCCAGTATAAATGTAATCGAATGAATAGATTAGTCGCAGAAATCGACAAAATCTTATTTTAATAAAAAAAAATCATTTAAATGACATCAAATATTTCATTCTATATCAAATAATCAATTTAACTTGATTTATATCACCGATCTATTGTTAGACTATCTACGGAAATGTCTAATCGAATTTAATGGAATCTATTACTATATTGTAATAATATGTTAATATTTTATATATTGATGATTCAGAATATATCCTTTTATTTTTACTTTTAACTTACATAGTTACGCAGAAGTTTAAAAAATTAATTGCAATATTTTATCATAAAAATAATGTACATTTCAATAGCAAGTTATTCATATACTGCTAAAATAAACATGCATATCTCAGTATAATAAACGAAAATTATTTTCTTATATTATCTAAAGCTCTTTCGTGAACTTTGTACTATACATTTCACACATTGGTAATAATTGATATAATATAAAATAATGGAATAACTTGAAGTATATAAGGCCTTAAAAAGATAAATTTATAAAAGATAATGTTTGTAAAATATATATCTTTCGTTTTTTGTACTTAAAAAATCACTTTGTATATAAAAGATACAATTAAATATAAATATAAATAATCTGTGTGGTTTTTTCTATATGTATGTATAATATATATATAAATATATATGTATATTTTAAATAAAGTTTTAAAATATATATAACTGCATCTGTATCAACACAAACATTCAATTAAATTAATATAAGGAATGTATCAATTGAAAACTACAACCATGATTCGCGATTTGGTTGAAATTTCTCTAGATAGAAATGTAATGATTAACTCTTAATTAAAGCTTAATCATTAAACTATGCAATTTAGTAATTAAATATTTTTGCTGCTGTATGTTTTCACATGTTGATCTCTGCGTTATATATTGCATTATTATTTATAATAACACTATTCGTTTGCTTCTTGTACAATATCTGCCACGAAACGAATCCGTTTATCTTACAAAAGTTCTGTTTATCAAAAATAGTTCGATTTTTATAATTTATGGCTTTACGGATTGTGGGTAAAATCCGAAATTACATCTGAGTTGTTCCAGGAACACAAATGTGAGGATAGTTTGCGGTGTTAACCGAATAAATGCAGGTACATAGCCCTAAAAATAGAAACAATTTGTATTGCATGATTTTATCAAAATTATTTATCAATATCAATATAAAGATCTTTTTTAATCATACTTACTTTAAAGAAAGCCAATGGCCCAAGTTTGGCAGTATATAGGAAGATTTCTAGTAAATTCTGTACAGAAAATATAATAATCGCGAATTACATATATTTTTTTAATTTATTCTATTTAGATTTGGATCTACTTACTTTAAATTCTCCAGGCTTAGCATTCATTGCTCGTGTTTTCAGAACATCTAAGGGTTGCGTAAGTGTTGTTGCAATAGCGCCCTATCAGCATAAAAGGATGTAAAACGTTATCTCTTTTCGAATACACTTAGCACAAACTAGAAATGATAAGTCTTAATATTTATAGATTATACTTACTGCCGATACACTGGATAAAACGTGTGTTGAAGGATTATCCTGAAAATAGCCAGTTTGTAATAATATTGTTTTAATTTGGTCATAAAAGCTCAATTGTCCGATAGTCATCAGTGCTGCTCTCATGGTCGCAGTCGAACATCCACTAAACAATTGATAAACTCCTTCTTGTTGAATTACACGTAACAGTCCATCCAGAGCATGCTTATAACTATGCCATAAAGGAATTTATTAATAAGACCAACGATATAATCAAATAACATTATAATCAAATAATAAGGATGTCTTACTTTCTTCTTAGTTCTGGTGCTATTTTGATATCATTCTGCATGCGTACATTAATTACATCGCTGGGAGTCCCAAAAACACCACCAGTAGCACCAGAAATTCCAGCCAATATCAGCTTTTGATAAAAAGGCAATGGATGACCAGACGATTCAAGCGTCTGTTTGCCGACCTATTATATTCAACATGACCTGTGTATAATAAATTAAGAAGAAAACTGTTTATATACGTATAGATGACGCATATAAAAGGTCTGCATGTACCGACCTCGTATGCTCCAAATCTTATTGTAGAATATGTAAGTTGGCGAAGTAGGGAAGCACTAAGTCCGTTATATAGAGCTAATATTCCTTGTTTCCTAATTATTCCAATAGTAGAATGTACTATTGATAGCTTGCCCTCTTGTTGCGTTTGTAAGTGAACCTGAAAGAAAGATTTGATCGTTTGATCCCCTAATTTACACATTTCTCTATCCGTATTTCTGTATCTGCATTTAAAGAAAATTGATATTTATTAGAAATTTGAAATAATTTCTGATTATATAGATTTATAGAATGTTCAAACTGATTGTGTAATATCTTTTGTCACTTTTATTATTATAACAAATCAAAAAGTACTGATTTAAAAACGATATAAACAAGACCTTCAATAAATCTAAAGGATGAGTCACGCATGCAGCAGCTGCGGAAGAAATGCCACCAAAGTACCAGCGTGATAATTTTTTACTCTTGTCAGTCATTGTTCTACTCATCTTTACCACTGTATACTAAGCAATAATTATAGGAACATATCTATGGCACTAATGCTGGCACTGGCACTGTAAAATACAGGAAAATTGATTAAAACATATACTGATTTATCTAAAAAGTAATTAATTTATTTTACCTAAAAAATTAATGTATACTAATAAAACGAAATGTTAAATATATTATTTAGTCATCATGTAGAAATGAAGGTTCTCAAGTTTGATTTTAAAAATAGATAAATAGTTTAAAAAAGAAAAGGCTGAAAAATTATCATATCAGAGTCCAGATAACAAATAGAAAGAAATGCATATATTTTGCACAAATGAATATTAACATAAATTTGTATTCCAAGTTTTAAGCTCAACTGGACTAATATCAATTCTATTAATAGTGATCAAGTTGTTGATTTATCTACCTTTTTCTATATATATATATTATATGTATTAACACAATTTCGAAAAACTTTAAAAAATTATTTAAAAATGACTCAGCTATACATATGATTTATAAAGGACTCAATAAAATTAAATCAATACTTATTAGGGTGTACAGAATGTCTTTACCTTAACATTCCAATGTCATCCACAGAGTTAAGCTATGGTGATTGTAATGCATCTTACATGCAATTATTAAAAACCAGAAACGGAATCATATTAATAGAAACATCAATCAACATTCCTTAATAACTGAAGGTAAAATTAATTTATTGCATGAATTTTATTGGAACAACATTATAATAGTTATTAGAAGAAAAAAAGGATCATAAGGTACTGATCTCTGAAATGATCTATATCCAAAAACAAAAGCAAAATTTAAATGGTACGGAATTTTTAAATCCGCTATAATTTTGTTGTTTTACTGTCATATGTCATCGTTTTTACTAATATATGTATATTATTTTGTGTATTAGATTATGATAGTTTTTACAGTGTTTTTATATTTCGGTCATTTTTTTACTAACAATTTAAGTACTCTACCAATTACTGTCAAAGACGTTCGTTGATAACTGTTTACTTATGGACGTTATATCCACAATGTCTTAGTAAGGCACGATTTTTTTTATTTCACAACACTTAATAATTTTGTTAATTTTGTCAGTTTTATATTAAAAAAGACTCAAATCAAGTGCCGAAACGTCTATTGTATTATATTTAATTCTTATCTTTTTTTATTCATTGTTAGCTTTCATGGGCTTTTATTTGAATGTATGATTTATTTTTTCGAAGCTTCATTCTTTTATATATTAATATAAATTTCTGTACAGTACGTCTATCATGTAACAAAAATGCTATTAAATACTCCGAAATATCCGCTCTTTATTTTTTTTTTGTAGAAACTGAATTGAGATGTTACAAAATTTGCAATATTCTACGATATCTTACGCAAATATAAATAGCATTTCTTGCTAAGCTCAAGTCAGGCTAAAATTGAAACCGAATACAAGTACGATGAAGCAGAAGCGATCTAGCGATAACAATGACTCTACGTCTCAATCAATAATTCAGCTACATTTTTTTGGAGTGACGGCTCGAACATGTTCGCATGAGCGAATTTGCTATTGACTTTTTGTTACAATAAAAACAAAAGTCCTTTTTCTGCAATCGGTAATTATTATAAGCGTCGTAGATATAATTGTTTAAAAATAAATTGTAACAATTTTGCGTTATTATAAATAATCGAATAAGTTGAAAGTTCCATGGCTTTCAATTTCCAAATTTGTTGAAAGGTTTTGTAAGATGCAGTCTTTTACAAAATTTGTTGACAGAGAGTGCTAAAAATATAACAGAATCTGTCAACAGAACATGATAACGGAATGACTAGTAGAAACAGAGCAGAAACTGCTGTTTTGTGTAATCATTTAAATAATTTATTTAAATAATATATTCCATTTAAATGATTACAAAATGATAGATTCTACTCGACTCTTGCAGTCGGTCTGTCGTCAGATTTTGCTGGCAGAATACAAATTTAACGTGAATGTGATTGATGCCAAATCGTAACATTCTACCGAAGGTCGAATTGTTAGCATATTGCCAATATTTTGCTTCCTGCATTCGATTTTATTCTAAACTATTTATTATAAACTCAATAATCGGTGAGTAAAGACTAATTTCAAAAGTTGAAATTCCTGTTTGAATATCTGTTTCCTCTCAGAAGCAGCATTTTATTCAATTTTACTCGAAATGAATTGAGTTCTTTTTTTAATTTATTTATCCTAAAATAAAAGTCAATTCAATATATGTTTAAGCTGCTCAGACTGCTTCTCTCTGTATTTAGGTAGACCGATTAGACTGGATCTTTCGATTGTCATTCGATTACTATGAGTTAACAAGCTCTTTGAGTGAAACAAGCGTATAAAAAGTACTTACAAGTTTGGTGTTCGGAAGAAACGAAGAAACGTTCCAATCCAGTCGACAGCTGGATTTCTACTGACGTAATAATCCAGAGTATAGAGGAATGGAAAAAGACTGCGGAATGTGACGTTCACAGGCGCATATCAGCTGACAACCACGTGCAATATTACCATCTTTCTCACGTTACGGTCGAGAGTCTCCACTGTCTCCAGTAGAACTTAAGGAGAGCGAAATGTACATATAGACTACAGTCATTATTATCGATATTCTCGCTTATCGCTTGTCGCGATAAACAGCTACATTTGCGTTGATTTATACGACAAGTTATATAGTCATTATTCTCGCTTATCGCTTGTCGCGATAAACAGCTACATTTGCGTTGATTTATACGACAAGTTATGGAATTAACTTATTAGCGAGTTGCGGAAATATTGTGCTATTCGCTTAAAATAGATACGTTCCAAAGCAAAATTCGCCTGGAATTTCTGCACTTCATATTCACGCATTTTTAAATGTGTCTATAGATATTATATAATAATATCATTACCTAATTAAATCGATATACAATTATATGAAATTGTATAATTGATATTTAGCTAATTAATTTACATTGTTATATTATTATATTGATCCTTTTAAAAGGTCCTTCAAAAAGGTGTGTTTTTCCAACTAGAGGAAATAAAACTAGTATACACACTGACAATTAAGGGAACTGTTCTTGTGAAGGACAGTTTTCCGATCATTCCCTTGCGAGTGCAATTGACTGAAAATTAATGAAAATTATTTCATATATTTTCAGTGTCAATAAATGCGTGAAACGGAATGCACCCAATAACTAGCTTATTCACTAAATAAATTAATATAATTGGTTGTTACTTATAGATCCAACCAACCGTATATTTATTCACTCGGCGAGCAGAGGCTAGCTGAAAAATCCGCTAATCATCTATTACGTCAGCTATTTTTAATTTTAACGAATAATGCCCATTTCCACCAATGCAGATTAATCCCGGTTTAACTTACCGTTAATCTTTTTCTAATTTTTAGAATTAGAAAAAGATGAAGAGCAAATTGAACTAAGATTAAAATTAATCTGCATTGGTGGAAATGGGCATAAAAGCCACTTTCACCAATTCCAATTAACTTAATCGGCCGATCAGTCCATGGAAATTGACCAATTGTGTCTGTCATCAAAACTAAATAATGAATGCGATTGGTCAATCCTGCAAAGTTACTGGAATGGTTAAATTAATCGGAGTTTGATGAAAGTCGTTGAAGGCCACTTCAATCATGTTCAGCAGATTCAACTGTTGCGGACAGGAAGTAAGATATAAGGAGACTCCACTCCGTAAAATAAAAGTGGACCCATTTTAGGTTTCGAGTTCAGCTTCTGATTGATCATTTCTCTTACTCGCACTCATTATGCGCAGCACTACTAAATTCACGAGCGCTGCGAGTGTCGAGAATCGGAAACGGAACTCGAAACCTAAAATGGGTTCATGTCTTGTAGACTGGCGAGACCGAGTGGAGTCTCCTTATATCTTCCTTCATGGTTGCGGAGCAGATCTGTGAGCGCTCGCTACTATTGGTTGATCTAAAAGAATATACTAATAACAGCGAGCGTTCACTCAACTGTTGCGTTCGCTGAACGCGCCCATTGGTATATTCGTTTAGATCATCCAATAGCAGCGAGCGCTCACCAGCGCTCACAGATCCGCTCCGCAACAGTTGAGTCTGCTGAACGCGCCCAATGTCTTCTATCGATCGCCACTAGGAGCACCACAGAAAAATCTTTGAATCGCCAATTTAGGGAGTTTAGAACACGTGGGTGACTACGAAATAAACACTTTTGTCCTTATACAGATTTTTAATGCTGACTTTGACTGTGCAAAAGTGCGTCTGGCCACGTTTATCTCATTCACGAAGACCTATTACGATAACGACTCTCCTTTTATCTCCTTATGTGGAGCATAGGACGTCTATAGACCTCTTTTGTCCGAGGCCTATATTCGTTTCTCGAATCAGATTGTTTTTCGGATTTGTGGGTGATTGGTCCACAGAATCCTACCTCAGTCAGATATTAGAGACAAATATCTACTGATATGTATACTGATGTATAGGACCTACAGTTTAACGCGGAATCCGAACGGCGCTGATGATCATAGATCTTTTGATCACCAGATGGAGCCATTTTTTGGCTCATTAAACGCGAAAAATCGCGTTTAGGCGCACGTGGGATTGAACTCGGGTCTACAAATCGCGAGTCAATCGCACAGAGCGGTGAGCCACTCGACGCTACACGAGGACCTATTAATAAAAAGAAAATAAGGAAGAAAGTCTCGCCGCGAAGCCATACAGCCCCCACGACGGGAGAAACTTCAGTTTATATCTTACAAATGAAAGATGAGCAAAGCTAACCTTAAAGAAGCGTAAGTGATATTTTATTCTGATTCGCCATATATATAAATATATATATGTATATATAAAAGTACACACAATAAATTATTTTTTAATCTTCTTTTTAATAATTGTGTTTTGATAATTGCTCCCATATTATTTTCAGATTTGAGGTGGAATGTAGGCATGGAGCATTTTATACTGGTGGCAATATACAAGTAGGTTTTTAAAGGCTTAAGAATTTATTTGTTATTTTAATTATTACTTATAGATTCTATATCATTATTCTACAATGTGCTTTAACAAGTGCAAATATTAATTTTTAAATTTAAGTATTGATTATTAATCAAGTTAATATATATAATGTAAAGAGTGCCATAATACCACCTTCTCTATACTACATAAGTTATTTTAAAAAATGTATGTATGTAGGATATGTTTGTCAAATTGGCCACTTAAGTCTCGTATTAAGAGTTTTGAAAATACTGAAACAGTATTAATAGTTGTTTTTCTTCTTTTTATAAAATTTTTGCTATGTATATGTATTTTTTGTCTTTTTTTAAATATTAAATAAGACAAAAGTTATATCAACTTAGATTAACATTTAAAACTTTTCATTACTAACTATTCATGATCATCTGGTCTTTTGTTACAGTGGGATGCAAATGCTGAATACTTATTTTGCCAGAAAGGAGGCACTGTGTCCATACTGTCCATGAGCAAAGGCTCTGTGATATCATCATTATGTGTAACAGATGCTGATCAAATAGAGGATACAATAAATTGTTTTGCACTTTGTAATGAAGATACAGGTGTGATCACACATCATAAGAGTGGATTATTTAAATTATGGGATTGGAAAAGTAATTGTCCAAATTCTAATTTTTTATTGTTTTTGATATTTTTTTATCTGACATTTATATATTTTTTTATTTATGCTTGATATAGCTAATAAGTTAACAAAATTATGGAAATCAATTCACAAAGGACCTGTAATGCAAATAACTCTTTCGAGTAATAGTACTTTAATGGCATCTGGTGGAAGTGATGGATCTGTCAGACTATGGAATTTACAACATCATGCATGTACACATAATCTCAAAGGAATACAGGGAGTAGTTAGGTATTGATATATGGTATACATAGTATTCTAATAAACAAGAATGGATTGAAATGGATTCAGATTTTCAGAAATATGCATTTGTGAATGTTAAATAAATCCTTTTTAATCTGAATGCATTTTTATTTATTTATAGGACTTGCATGAAATACATTTCTATGTTTTTCAATTTAAACCTATACATCATATAATATAACAATAATATTGTAATAATATTACAAACTTCTGTAATATTACATTACACACTATTTTTTCATGTGTTCAAATTTATAATTTCACAGAATACATTTTAAAAAATATACATATTTTGTAAAATCTTTTACTTCAATAATTGGTTGTACTATATTACAGTATACTATTTTAAGCTTATTAACGGAAAGTAATGTTATACACGTATACGCGCGCACGCGCGCGCGCGCACACACACACACACACACACACACACGATTGTCAGTATGTTTTTTTCAAATTTTTCAGATTTAAAATTTTCGAATAGTTTAGATTCAGACCATAAAGTCTTAATTGATCTTATTTGATTAAATTTTTATTTATAAATAGTTCATACCTTTCTGTTTGTACTTGCCTTAAAATAGATCATTACAGCTGAAAATATTGTTCTGAATTACTATTGATATCTTTATTTTCTTTTAGCGTATTAAAATTTTATTCAAATAGTGAAAAATCACTTCTTTTTGGAGCTGGTGACAACACAAAAATTTATGGTTGGGATATCACTACTGGACAAGAAAAAGTTGTTCTCTCTGGACATTTTAGTAAAATAACATCTCTTAGTTTTCACGAAAATGAAAATTATTTAATTAGGTAATAAAGAAATGAAATATAAAATGCTCTAAAGATATATAAATATAAAATACAGTATAGATAGAATGTAAATGTAATATAATATGTATATGCACAGTTCGGGAAGAGACAGAGTACTGATCTTGTGGGATATATCCACTGGGACATCAATACGTATTTTACCAGTATATGAAGGAATTGAGGGAACTTTTATGATATCCGCGAAATGTCTTCCAGTATTTATTACATCACATAAAAGCAATGGTATATATGTTGCTTCAGCTGGCGAAAAAGGTATGTTAATATAATTGGTTTATGTTCTACAAGAGAATAGTGTAATTTAACTTTTAATGCACACAACGGTTTTTAGAACTTTTACTACACACGATGAATCTCTTGTGTCCTAAGGCAAATTTTCAATGAATAAACCGTTCTTGTTGAAAAATTAAATACGCAGAAATGAGAATCGGTAACGCATTAAACTAGAACTACATAGCACGCAGAATGCAGATCGCAAGTGAAATATATTTCAGATTATTATAATAAACCGCAGGTCGCAATATGCAAAACGCATAAAAATTAAAGTTTACCTAATTTCTTGCATTCTGCAGCCTATTATAATTAAAATACAGTTAGTTTCTAGTCTTGTGACTGGCAATCCTTGGTCTGAGTGCTATATAGATCCAGCTTGTCCTTTAGATGCCAAATTTATTTAGAAAAAGAATATAAATCTTTGTTTAGTCAGGTATTACCAGTATTTCAAGGAAAAGAAACGTTAATAACATAAATAATCCAATATGCATTTAGGATTAATATAAATATTCTCTCTTAGGTGTCGTTAAAATCTGGGAGATGAAAACGGGCAAGCAGATTTATGTGCAAGACAATTCTTTAGTACCATCGGCTAAGGAAGAAGGAGACTTATCAATTACGCATTTACTTTACAGCAACATCCATAAAATTTTTGCAGTAGTATCTGTCGATCACAACATAATTATTCATTCGTTGGAGTTATTTGAATGCAAAAAGCAGGTTTGATATATTAGTATAAAAGTCTGAAATTATATATATATATACTAATTTTAAATTACAAAAGTTGGTAGGTTATAGCGATGAAATTCTAGACGTTGCGTATCTTGGAGATAATGACACTCATATCGCACTCGCGACCAATAGTTGTGATATAAAACTTTATGAAATTGCTTCTATGAATTGTCAATTATTGTGTGGTCATACTGATAGCGTTTTGGCTCTCGCTACAACTTTGGCAAATGTAAATCTGCTTGCATCTTCAGCCAAGGTATTTATATCTTAATAATATATAATAATATATTATATAAAATGAATTACATTAGTTTATTGTTCTTAAAACAGATCACAATTTATTTTATACTTATTTTACTTACAACCTTCAACTTCAATTAATTTTTTACATTGGGTTTTCTAATAGAAATCTTAATATTTATTCCTATTCTTAATATTTTCACCATTGTGCAAAACCTTATTCTTCATTTTTTCCGCGCTTTCAATTGCTTGGAAAGAGAAAAATCATAATTCTATTTTAAAAAGTGGAAGTGATCTTTGTGTCTTTTTAACATCTCTACTTAAAAAAAAACCATATGATCAAAATACATCCCTCACGAAATTTGTTTACTTTTATCTAAAATTTTCCGTATTTTCCATATTTTTCAAAGTACTTGCCTGGATAAATTAAAATAGGGCACCCTATATAATAATACAAAAAAAATTGACATTATGTTATATATAAAATAATTATTTATAGGATAATAGTGTCCGCATATGGCTACTGGATAAAGACACAATGAGGATGTCTTGCATTGGACACGCCATTAGGCATACAGCATCAATCAGTTCTATTGCCATATCTCAAACATCATCTCAATTTTTCACTACTGTCGCTCAAGATTCATGTCTGAAACTGTGGGAATTACCCAGTCTCGAATCACATAGTAAGTAAAAAGTATAAGATAAAAGGATAAAAGGAAAATCTGCCCTCAAATTACCCCTAAACTTTATGATAAAGCATGAAAGAATAGATTTTTGTTGAATCTTTTAAGTTATTGAATACATTCAAACAAAAATATAATAATATTTTAAGATACTTAAGATATTTTCCTCTTATCCGATTGAGCTGAAGTTTCACATAACTTTTTTTTTAATTGGAGTCATTCTGAGAAATGCTTCTGATGCTATAAAAATCTTCGAATAAATAAAAGTTATCCTAGTTTAGTATTATAATAAAATAATAATATAACCTATGTTGACTTTTATTTTCAACTTTCGAATATTTTTAATATGCAATCTACACACACACACACACACGCGCGCGCGCGCGCACACACACACGCACACATAAAATATGTATATAGATTGCATATAGGTATATATGATCTTTTTCGCTTACAGATCAAGCTTTATCATTAAATGTAAGACATACAATATTAGCACATCAAAAAGATATAAACTGTGTAACCATTTCACCAAATGACAAACTGATTGCTACAGCGTCGCAAGATAAAACTGCTAAGGTATATATGTAGATATATCATCACTAATAAGGAAACCTACGGAGGCGTCACTCACCGATTTTAATGAAACTTTGCAAATTTGTAGAACTAGGAAAATATTTGACGGCCAAAAACCACCTAACACATTTTACTTTTTAAAATTTTCAACTTATTTCACCTAATATGTTAAATCTACTCCTTACCTTTAAGGAGTAGGTTTCACCCTTTACAGTGAATCTTTGTCGATGAAAAAAATACATGTTAAATATTTTTCATATTTCTACAAATTTGCAGTTTCATTAAAATTGGTGAGTGACACCTCCTTAGGTTTACTTGTAAGAGATAAATTTTTGATACTTATAATTACATGTTACTACAATCATCATTATTATTGTTCTAATGTTAGTAATAATTACTATATTTAAGTTCTATTCAATAAATAAATAAATAAATAATATATATATTTATTAACAGAACTGTACATATAATTATTATTATTATAGCAGTAATAGTTATAACTATATTAACATGCAATTATAGTTACAGATACAAAAATTTCTTTTCAGTAATTGCATGAATCAAATTTATCTTACACATGTGCATGAATAACTCTAAAATTATGTTAGCTTGTAAAAATTATAATTATTGTTTGTAGTTATGGTCTGCTGAGAATTTACAATTACTTGGTGTTCTTCATGGTCACCGAAGAGGTGTATGGTGTGTTCGATTTTCGCCGAGTGATCAAATACTCTTAACAACGTCCGCTGACTGTACTATGAAAATATGGTCTGTAGCAGAGCTTAATTGTCTAAAGGTAAAAGAAAATAATTTGTCTTTTTTTTTAATATTTATAAATCTAAGTTTAATCTAATTACTTTTCTTCTTGTCATAGACGTTTGAAGGACACGAATCTTCCGTCTTAAGAGCAGAATTTTTATCACGCGGTAAGCAATTAATTACGTCGGGAGGAGACGGTCTTCTGAAATTATGGAATATTAGTACGTCCGAATGTATGTCTACTTTGTACCAACACGAAAGTCACGTTTGGACGCTTGCAGGTGAGTCTGTTTAAGTAAAAATATGAGATGTTAATTTGCTCCGCTTCCAAGCTCCTTGTTATTTACATATTTTATAGATAATCATACATTTGTATGCAAAATTTAATTTTTTAATTTTTTTTAACGTGCGGCACGAATAAACATTTTAAACGAAGTTGACCTTGAAATCTCTGAAATGTTTTCACTCTTATACACTATATAATAACTCCCTCGAAGTCATAATTTTTATATATACCTAACAATTTTTCGTACAACGTATAACAAGTATTATTAGAAGTGTTTTGAAGTGTGCAAGATTTTAGGTGCTCTATCCTGTGTAAGCAATTAAAAGATATTTTATTAAAAGAATAATATAATATTTTGTTAATTACTATTCAAGTAGTGCATGACTATTCCAATAAGGAGTAAAAATTTGTATTAAGAATAAATTATAGGCCAACCTTTTATTAATAAAACAAGTGTATTTTTTAACTTTATATTTTGTCCATTCGCTGTATATCATATACGTTTTTAATCTTTATGTGTATATATTGTTTATGTAGTTACAAAGGATCAAAAACATATTATCAGTGGAGGTAGCGATTCATTATTGGTTATTTGGAAAGACGTGACCGAAGAAAAAAAAGCGCAAGCCGCATCGGAAAAAGCACAACTTGTGCTCGAAGAGCAAAAGTTGGCCAATTTACTTAAAGCTGAAGAACTGCAGGCTGCATTACAATTGGCTCTGAAACTAGAGCGACCATTACAAGTGCTCAAGATCACAGAAGGTATTTTGCATTGATCTTATTGTATCTAATGTAATACTGTTAGCGGATTCGGCAGATTGCACTAGTACACACTAAGTGTGAACTTTTTCGATACCACACATTTATTCTGTGCGCACTGTATCAGTGCGTTCAGATTGTCGTATTCGACAAATGAAAACTGATCCAGTGTATTGAATTATATTTGAACTAACCGAATAAATTGAACTAGTTCAAAAGATATTGCGCTGACGTTTCTAATAGTGCACCTTTAGTATAACACCAAAGTGATTCTGTATTCTTATCATATCAGGGCAGCACTAGAGCAGAGTTAGTGCATGTGTGCTGAATTCGCTATGATACGCATGTGTATTCAACTAGTTTATAAGATTATTATAAGATTTTTTGTAACAGCTATATTGAAGAAAGCAAATAACAAGTTTACGGAAATAATAAAGGAATTAAAACCAGTTCAGAAGGAAACGTTACTCAAGTGTGCAGTTACATGGAACATGAACAGCCGAAGCTCGCATGCTGCTCAAGTAATATAAAATTTAATAATTTATTGTTTGGAAATTGAACAATTTTGATAATAATACATCTCTAAAATATATTTTCATCTTGTATATTATTCAACAACTGAAAATATGAGAAAATGTTAAAACACGTTTATTTTGAGAGATTAACTGTTTTATCAAATAATTTTCCGTAGTCTTTTGAAAAAGGTTAGTAGGCGACAATTAAAAATTTTTTAATAATACATAGAGAGTAAGTGATTCATTTAAATTAAAATAAAGATTTTATTGAAAGAGAAATTTTAGAGCATATATAAATTCAAAATTTTTATATTAGTTTTATTTAAAATGTTTTTTTAAATAGTGTTATTAAGTAGTGTTATTAGTAGTACCATTTGAAAGATACCTAAGTATAGATACTGCACGGGAAAATTACCTAGTTACTTATAGATACATTTTAAAAAAATTATCTTATATACATACAGATACAGTATATGAAAGATCTAATTATTATTAGGTGTCTCTTTAAAAAAGTGCACAAATGAAATATTTTATATTAATATAATATAATTAGATAATTGTCTCATGTTTATCATTTTTTAAATTAGTATAAATATTGATTACGGTTACACGACACTCTTGATCGAATTTAAGGAGATATTCTTGTTCGAAAAGCTAAAAAATTACATGAATTAAAAAAATAGATTAATGTACGGGGTAGACTATTTCAATCAATACACGCGAATATCACGAAAAGAAGAAATTAAAAAAATTTCGGATAAAAATGTTATGATTTTAATGGGAAAACAAAATGGTGATCTCGGTTGATTTTGAGAAAATCAAGATTACGTAAATTTTTTTAATGGAAATCCCAATTTTTTATTCCATAGTCTTATAGCTTATTATTATATTTTAAGAATTTTTCATGACACGATAATAAAGTGTTTTTTTGTTAAGTAAATTTCAAGTTATGATATTTGAAAATTACATAACTGCCCGGCGTTTCAAGGTGTTCGACTGACGGCTATAATCTTTTAAATATTGTTCAGGGTCATGATCTTGATAACATATGTCAAGATCAAAGTCTTTAGAGATTGTTCTTCTTATTTTCATTTATCTCTTATATTAAAAATGTTTTTTACGTTAAAAATTTTCTATAGCGGAAAATCTCATCACTTCTGCCAATCAGAAACGAAATGATGAGAAAGCTCGGAATTCGAGCGCGTCGTTTCGAATAAGCAGTCATGTTCTTTGGTGAACGTTATAATAACGAGCGGATATGTTTGAAATCATCATTTCATGTGTTTGAAACTATCATTTTATTTTTAGCGTAAAATGAAAATAAAATAAATAACCTCTAGAGACATTGATCTTGATAAATATTATCAAGATCATGACCCTAAACAACATTTGAAAGGTTTTAGCCATCAGTTAGACACCTTGGATAATATAAATGTCGGCAGTACTGTAACTTTCCAACTTCCTAACTTGAAACTTATTTAATGAAAAACTACTTTATTATAACGTTTTAAAATAAGCTACAGGAATATGCAATAAAAAAATAAGGGTTCAGTTTAAAACATTTTATGTAACCTTGACCTGATCTTAAAGACATCTTGTATGTAAAGTTTGTTAAAGTTACTCAGTATCTAAGTTCTTTTACTTTTTCAGTAAGAGATAAAGCTTAGAAGTTCTATTATTAATAATTAAAATCAAGTAATTGCTCTTTAAAGAAAAAATAAAGGAACACGTGCTCCAACATTTTTTCACATTTTCAACTGTTTTGGAAATATGGAGGATACAAACAAATGTTAGAGACTCTTTATAATAAAAATTGAATAATTTGATTAAATTTTTTTATGTTAAAAATAAAATTTCCTATCTATTAAAGAAAACATTTTTTTTTAATGCATATAATATCTCTGAATACTTTTTATTTTTTACTCTAAGTTATCTCTAACTCTCTTAATTTTTTTGTTATTTCTAGGTAATTATAAATACTTTAATAACAGAGATCGGAATGAAGGAACTGCAGACGTCAAATTTATCTTCTACTCTAGAAGTTATGTTACCTTATACCGACAGACATTTTAAAAGATTGACAAAACTTTTGCAGGATCTATATCTATTAACATATACTTTTAATCGTATGAAACCTGATATATCAACTGGCTCTAAATAAATTACACATGTAAATAGTACATACATATGTATTTTACGTATATATAATATATAAGTGTATAAAAAAGTTGTACAAATTTTATTTTTTATATTTTTGATTTTTATAAAAGATATATACAGAGTGGTCCATGTAAAGTGTTACAAACTTTATTATCTCTGTAAGTATATATCAAATAAAAAATGTGTTTAGACAAAAGTTTTGTGATTTCGAGGGGGACAATGGTATCATTGGTTTGACCAGGACAAAGTCACTTTAATATTTTTAAACGAAATTCTCTTTTCTCATTTTTTATTACATATTCTTGTAGCATACCTCGCTTTCCAAAACAATATTTTTTCATGAAGTACTTTTTGAATTATAAGGCTTGAAAGTTACAGTATTGCCGGCGTTTACATTATTCAAGGTCTCCAAACAATGGCTGAAACCTCTTGAATGTTCTTTAGGGTCATGATCTTAATAATGTGGTTACAAGAATATGCAATGAAAAGTGAGAAGTTCTAATTTAAAAAATTTTAATTGTTCTTACCTTGACAACACCACTCAAAGTCAAATCAATAATTCCATCTCATGTCTTCCTCAAAGTGGCAAAATTTTTGTCTAAACATATTTTTCATTTAACATACTTTCAAAGATAATAGCTTGTAACACTTTGCGTAGGTTGCCTTGTATGTGCGCGAATGTATATATACACGTATATATCTAAATCATTATTTATGTTTTACACTAAGTAATTTTTTAATAGATTTCGGTTTTACGGTAACTCGCGCAATAACATGATAATACTAAATGAACGAGAATATATCTATATGCGTAATCATACAGCGATAAAATTTAAATTCACGAGGTATTCACGGAGATAAGAGAGAAATTTCATTACACTGATGAATCATGGACCGTTGTATGGAATTTTTCATCATCTTTTCACAACGCAAGTAAACGATTATACATGATGAATTCCGAGAAATTAGCCAATTAAACCACAATCTGATATTAAATCAAGCATTGAATTGCGTGCACATTAGACGATTATGGATAAGCGCGCGAATCTACATTGTAAGTCTTAGACATATAATGAATGTGTGCATTGATGTCATAGGTTGCTATACGAGAATATATATATATATATATATGTGTATGTGTGTGTATTACATGTATGTGTGCATGTATGAGTTCAAGCAGGTCTGAAGCACCATGAGAGTGGGAGCGAGCTTTGGTCTGACTATCTGGTTTTCAGTAAATTTGCTCGCCCAACCACACTGACGGATTACAAGGAAAGATCAGTCGGAATCTATTAGTGGTGCTGTTAAGTGAAGAAAAGATAGTACTTAAGAATGATTCTCGAAGAAAGAGTCTTCGTCCAAATACTCTTCGTTTATCTATTAGGAGTATTGTTATTCACGGACGCAATCAAAGTGTAAGCTGCAATTAATTCGATTACTAATGGTATGGAAAAAGAAAGAAAAAAGCATAAAGAAATATATAAAATTAACGCAATCAATAGACAAGCGCGTGATTCGCAACAATACACAATTTCTTTCAAACAGAATAAAAAAAAAATAAGTACTGTATAAATGCGTACCTGTATATCTCAATATCTTACATTATAAAATTATTTTATACATATATATAATAAACATGATATTATATTCTATAAAATGCAAATTCCAGTATTGCATGTAATTTAGATTTAGATATAAAAATGTTTACGAGACGTTTTATCTTTAATTTTTTTAATAAAGGTCTGTTTGTTTAAATTTTCACGGTTTATAATTTAACAAAATTTTAATGAATATTTAAAACTTGTTTTTTTCCTCGAAAGACAAGACGGAGCGGTTTTCTCAACATCAAGTATTGATGGTTTTTACGAGATGTATATTTCCATAAATTTCATAAAACCGCGCATGTCGTTGCTTTCGTCGTTATCCTTCCACGTTGAAAAATATTGCATCAAAACAAAGAAAAAATGGAAATGTGTTAATGCCAACATGTTCGATCTTTATCCTTGTTTCTCGTTTGCAAATAATATATCTTTTTACATAAGCTAGGCGTATACGTTTGCGCGTCTGATGTAAGGAAACGCAGCATCGAGAGATAAAATTCGCTTAAATATTGTTTTTAACCTTGCAAAATTTTATAGCTGCTTTCAAACAATTATCAGTGCATAACATTTGACCTTCTCGTAAATGCAATCGATCAGCCAGTTAACGAATTGAAGTAATACCGTAAATTATATCTTTAAGCGAAAAGCGTTTCTTTGTACGATGCAAAAATTGTCGGTTGCTTTTTTCCAGCAACGAAACAAAAAGCGACAAGCTTTAACAAAAGCCATTTTAATGAAATGCTCGCAACAGACTATTGTTCGTTTTCGTATGCTCACGAGAATCATCAGTCTCATGTCTTATTTCGATGATAAACAAGCATCGAATTCAATTCACACCTGTTAAAATAATAGTATTCAAATTTAATTTTCGCCATTCTATCGTGCGCGCATGCGGGTGCCAATACACGCACGCGCGCGTAAACACGCACACACTTACGTTTGATTATCATTGACATATACGTTTAAATATTAATTCAATGCTTATTTTAATGTCTTAATTATCAATTAGCATTATAAGTAAAACCATTGAATAACAACTCAAACAAAACATATATTAATTAAGAAACACGGAATACAGAATATATGTTTATATATACAAGGTGTACCTTAAAAAGCACTCATGGATTACATAGCTATTCCTGATTAAAACTGAGTTTAAAACTCATGAATCATTTTACAATATTTGCAATTTTTTTAGTTATCCTACAAATAGAATGTCTTAAATCGATAAATAAAACAACTTCAAAAAATTTTTAAGAACTTTTATCTTTCAGATATTTCATAAAGAATACTAAAAAATGTTTTAAATTATTTTATTTGTCTGTTTTACCCGTTTATTTGACAATCTTTAGAAACTAATATCTTCTTAATTATTGCGAAAATTGCAAAATGATTCATAAGTTTTAGACTCAGTTTTTGATAAGGAATAGAGCGCTGTACGTTAAAAGTTACCAAACTAAAAGCTAAATTAGAAGTTAAATTAATTGAAAGTTTTATTTAAAAAATTGTTTTATTTAAAAAAAAGTTTTATTTAAAAATATTTAATTAAATTGAAATAATTATTGTAATTTTCATAGTTATTTTCAACAATTAAAATTAAAAATAACTGCAATATATATATAGAACGACCGGATCTACAATAGGATTTTAAGCTTTAAGCCATAAGAAATGCACAAATCATAGTCTTCTCGTATTCGACTGTAATTGGTCAATTTCTTACGGCTTAAGGCTTGAAACATCTATTGTAGATCCGGACTAAGACCGACTCATTGTAAAGAAATGTTGGAGTGATGAAATTATTGATATATTACAAACGTATAAAAATCTCCTAATTTACTAATAAAAAGTACTCTTTTACAGGATTGAAGTAGATGCAAAATTAGATTGACATTATACTAAAATCGAAAAAAAATTAAAATTTACAATTTACAATTCATAGAGCTGTCACCTAATATAGATGTTTCTTTAATATAAAAGTTCTATCACTCGTATGGATAAAATGGCATTGCTTCACCCGTCGAATTACGTGAACAAACAATGATCAGTTTATGAAAGTAGACACTGAAAGCTTAAAAAAAAGACTTATATTCAACTGCAAATTACATGTATGTATACGTATTCTTAGTGAAAATTTAGAATGGTAAACAGAGCAGTTATTGTACCTAGCAGAAGGTACCAGATTTTGCAAGAGACGCTGCAATATAGTAGATAAAGATAGATGTATACATTCAAGTAAGACAGAACAATAACGTAAAAAGTGAATTAAAATATAAAGCAAGGAGTAGAAGTAACTTGTAACGTCATTACTTTTCTTATCAATCGTGACACTCTGTTATAATAACGACTGGACAATAACGATTTTTTTATGACTGTAACAATGACAGTTGGAAAGTTACTCGATTGTTAACAATTTGTGATAAATTAGAAAAGTCACTCGTTACTTTTTAGTTGTTACTTGTAACGAAGTAATACTACTGATTACTTGTTATAAATTACTTTTTTTCAGTAAATAAACGCGTAATAATACAAGTTGTTTTTGACAAGTAACTTTCCCAACTTTAGCGCAATCTCAATTTAGTTAGTTATTAGTCGTAAAAAAATTTAACGCCATTATTATCAAATTATTACTATAGAAAGTAACGGAATAGTAACTCTTTCATTCTCTCAATTAAAGATATCACCGTTCTCGACATTTTTATATAATTTGGAATTACAAAAGTGTGTTTATACTATCGTGCGCGCGACATCGATCAAATTCGGCTGTTACTTTAGCATTCTCTTAAGGACGTTCTCCGAAAAATCCATTTTCTTTAGATTTTTCTGAAACTTACAGAAAAAGCTTGTTTTAGTGTTCTGAACATATGCTTTGAATCTCAGTACTCGTTACGGGATTAAAAATCGAGATATATTCCACTTCAAAGTTGAAACGTTTAACGTAGAATCCCTATCTAAAGCTTATTCGAAAGTGGTTTTTTATTCACCGTAAAAAAAGTTTTCTTTAGAATTTTTTGAAACAAAGAGACATAAAACTTGATATTACAAGGAATAATATGAAATTTTCCTGAATATGTCTTCCGGTATTCATTTTTAAGAAACCATTTAGCAAAGTAAGCAGCTCCGCTATGTTTTCGACCGGCGGCAATAGCGAAAGCGAGAGGGAAACAACGAAATAAGAGAAAGAGCGGAGTGGTAGTCAACTGTTACTTTCTGTGTGTAGAGGCGATTACGTGGACGCGAATAAACTTTAGGTTGAGCACAGCTGCAGCCGGAGAACGTCCTTAAGGGGGGAACTTTAAAGTCGTCTGTTTTTATCGACTCAATAGAACTTATACAATACAAATTACGTGTTATTGACATATCACTTAATTCATACTACTACATCAATATCGCACGCACACATACGCATAAATTTGTATAACAATTTTCTAGCAGTTAATATAAGTGTCTAACAATAAGTCTAATTTTAAGAACTTGTTGTTCATGTAAATTACTGGTCTGTGGACCACAACTTCGTAAATAAAGATTGCGAAGCTTTTGTATCAAGCAAATATTGTCACGATGTTGACAATTCTGGATGCCTTATTGGACTGAGAAATATGATAAAGATCTCAATTAAAAAAATTTTATCCGTTCTCGGTATAAGTACATATAAACTCAACCTCACACAGACGTATATTAATTAATTCGTACACTTCAATTCTGGAAAAAAATTTTTTAATTTGTAAAGAAAGAAAAAAACGTAATTGTTACATAAAAACTATTGCATTTAGTCGGTAAAATAGACGATTTTAAGATCGTCTTAAAGAAGTTTATATATAAAAGATGTTTTATAAAGGTGTTTCTACGAGAACCGTCTAAATAAGATGTTAAATATATTTTATGTCCCGATTTTAAATTTTGTGTTATCTGGATGAGTAATTATAGAAATATTTATATATTGAGCAGAGCAGTCTTCCGTTTTGCATGTCATATAATACGTCACAGAAGCTTAATCTTAGCCTCAATTGGTACACACAATTCCATGAGAATATGTAAATATGGTGATATCTTATATTAACAAAATATTTGACGAGGATATGCGACGTTGTAAATTCAAGTAACATACAGATGCTACAAGATAAGAACTTAATACATAGTCGGCGGCGCGGCACTCTTTTGTGGATTTTTTCTACAAATAAAGTATGTGCGTTCAATACAACCAAATTACTTTCCACAAGATATATAATAGCTACTCGTTTCATGTGGAACGTAACATAATAACACTTTGTCGCGAACAATTATCTCAAAGTTTGACAATCGACCTTCCGAGACCTGAAAATTATATTTATAATTAATTAACTCGTGATAGGAGTATGAATTTTCAATTGTCACGAAAGACATGTGCCGTCAATAGTGTAGTAGAAGAATTAGTTTCAATATACGATTATCTACATTCCCGGTGTCATCTTTGTAGATACGTCATTCACATCGATACAAAGAGATAATGAATATACATACCTTGGAGACAACACGCGCGAAGAAACGAGGTCTAGAATATTAATTCGAGCCGCTTTTTCAAAACTAGGCGTGTCAGCTGTGTGACGTGCGTTGGTATAAATTGTCTATTGCATTTAAGTTTTTTTTTTTTTTATAAAACTACACTCCTTTTCTATCAGCGTCAAATTACGCAGCTCTACAAAAAAAGAAGTTCTAAAAAGAAAGATAATTATCTTATATATATATATTTTTTTTTTTTCATGTTTAATACAATTTTGAGAAATGTTCAATTCCTAAATGAATAAAAATGCATTAGGATTGAAAAGGATTCATTTCAACATTGCAAATGCATTTACTTATCCGAATTCATTAATCGATTTCAATCTACTCTCGTTTACGGGATACACGTAAAATATAAGTTGATTAGTATCCTCACCTTTATACATGTATCAAAGTCAAGATAGCATAAAGGTTCACCAAAAAAATAATACCACGTGAGATCTAGAGTTTTACTTCTTAATTTGGTATGAAAACAGTAACGCTTAGATTTTATAATTTGGCACAATAATTTTTCTTTGAGAAGTATATTAAAACGCATGTTTTCTGTTTCTATTATATAAATTATATTTTATTTATTTATAATAAAAAACAAATTTAAAAATTACGTAACATTATTAAAGTTAATGCTCTAATCGTCACTTAACATAGTGTTTACATTTATATAAATAAAACAGAATTAATATCTTATGATTGAAACGAATTCAATATATTTATTGCATGTAGATCAGGAAATTGCCCATCATTTGGTACTTCCTTGACGCAAACGGAACTTCTGCAAGAACTGGCAAATGACTGCCGTTACGATAAGATGGTTAGGCCGCCCGGAGTAAATAATGAGACCGATCCGATTAGAATTTACACCAGAGCTTTTATCTACACAATAAAATCCAACATGGCCAAAACTCTGGTACCTGCATAATTTTACTTATACCTAGTTATGTTTTACAGGTAATGCATTAGTACATAAGCATCGTCGAGGGACATTAATAGAAAAGAAATAAACGTTATATTGCAGCAATTTGATGTGCATTTAATGCTGCAGTTTCGATATTTGGATAAACGGCTTAAATTCACCGACATAGCTCCTTATTTGACTCAAATATACGGCGGCCAGAACACTCATAAATTAATTTGGACGCCTACCGTGTACGTTGCGAACGAGCGTACCTCGGCGGTAATGGGAAATGGCGTCAAAGACCTACTTATCTCTATCAGCTCTTACGGCATGGTCATATTAAACACTAGGTATTTAATATTTAATCTCGAAGAATTGTGCGGTAAGAGCAGGATTGGTAAGTAACGCGTTATATTTGTAACGCAAATATTTCATTTTCGTTATATTGTTAGAGCAACAACATTACCGCCAACGGTAACAAATTTACCGTTACTTTAAGCCGTTACTTTCATCATATTACTTTAATTCCTTATTATTTTTATTCAATAGATTGCCTTATTTTTAATTTGAATAGAAATGTAAACATCAAAAAACATTTCGTACTTTATATTTTCTTATTAGACTGCATTCTGATAGTTGCCTGTACCGAAAATCTGTAGTATATATATATATATATATATATATGTATGTATACAATTATATGTATAATACATATGTATGTATATGTAACGTGAACTATAAATTTTCAATATTAGCAGTAAATATTAGAGTGCACTCTTAATAATGTCATTATAATGTTTTGAAACAACAGTATTTTATAAAAATTTTTAATAAAATTTGCGTTTGTGTAAATTACAATTTGCTTTTCTAAAAATAAACATATATAAAAAAAATTTATTAGACATAAATTGAACATAAAGAAATGTATGCTATATATAAGACTAGTTTAAAATTTAAAGTTTTACTATTAATTTTTACTATTATAAAATATTGATCATTAAATAACGTAATTTTTTAATGTAATATCCTATTTTAACATTACAAAAAGTAACATATCAAAAAAGTAATGATTTGTCCCTTACTTTTTTAAAAAAAATTACTGTTATTAATTTACTTTAAAAAATTACTCGTTACTTTAAAAAATCATGCGTTATCATCACCATTACTTTAAAATAACGATAATTGTAACGCATTATTTTTTAAAATTAGTAACAAATAATTTTTGTAAACAAATTAGTACAGTAACTTTTTTATAAGAAGTAACGGTTACTTTTATGAAGTAACGATTCCAATCCTGGGTAAGAAATACATGTATTTGATGAATTTTTATTCCAATTTTTTCATATTTTGCTTTGTATATTAATTTTCAACATAACTGGTTAACAATAGATCAATTATTTAATGTTCATTTAAATTTCAGATTGGTAGTTACCCTCAACTGCGGCCTACGATTAGAGAAGTTTCCATTCGACGTACAAGAATGTCCATTGGTGTTTGAAAGCTGTAAATTATCAATTTATTAAGTACCAAAATTCAACTTATAATTAGACCGAACAAAGAAAAAACTTCTATGCATTCATATTATTCAGACCTATTGATCTATTCTCTTAGAGATTGTTGCGCTTATTATTAATAATTATTGATAATAATTATTGTACAATGATTGTTAAATTGTTTTATTTATATCATTATTTGAATAATATATTATTTAATTTTATTATTTATTGTCTCAATTCATTATATGTCATAATGTAATATATATTTTTTTTGGTATACAATTTTCTCACTATATAAGTATGAAATAAATCACATACTATAACTATATATTGGCTTTAGCAATCTATTGGAAAAATAATGGATATCTTTTTACTACACCTAATATAATGTAAAATATGTAAAAATATGAAGAACCTGAACGATGAAAATGTTAATAAAAATTAACTTGACTAAGAAAAATGTAAAGAAACACGAACAGAACAAATGTTTTTTTCTAAAGGGACTCACAATGTGAACGAAATGGTGCTAGATTGGGAAGAAAATCCAATTGTCATCGCGGACGATTTATATCTGACGGAATACAAACTCATGGACACGTGGGTGAATCGCTCCGGGATATCTTATACCTCATCACAATATCACTATGGGCATTTTGGTAAAGTACAATTGATATATATTTAAGGGAAAAGTATGTTTTACCAACCCTCTGCAGCACGAAATATTGTAGCAATATTTTAATAGTGTATAATATTACAAAAATTGCAGCAATATTGCTGTAGATGTATAAAGATATTAAAAAAATAAAAAAAATTCTTATTTGAAAAATAATATAACAGACAACTCGAGGATTTTAGGATCCCTTTAACATTTGATCTAATAAAGAAATAAAAATGCTGTTGAATGTAATAAAAAAATAAAAATAGTATTGAATGTAATTGTCATTATAAAATAAATGGTTGCAGCTGGCAATTTCAGTTCGATAAATATCACATTTAAACTAGCCCGTGAAATGGGATTCTTTATGATGGATTATTACGTACCGTCTATATTGATTGTTGTGATTTCATGGGTGTCTTTTTGGTTACACCAAGATGCGAGCGCACCACGGATAGTTTTAGGTAAAATATATTTGTATGTTTTTGTTAATATTAAATAATAATACATGTTATATATATGTTATACATATGTATATGTATATGTACTTGCATGAAATTTATGTTTTCAGGCACAAATACTATTTTAGCATTTATGACACTCGCATCGAAAGTTGAAAATTCGTTACCGAAGGTCTCTTATATAAAAGCGAGCGAAATTTGGTTTTTAGGTTGTACGATATTTTTGTTTGCCGCAATGGTCGAATTTGCCTTTGTCAACACCATATACAGGAGGAAGTACGTAACATTTTCGTCGAAATGCAATATTTACGCACGTTTTGTTTATCATTCGATATAAATTATTTAAGGAAAATGTATTATATTTGCACAGAAAAAACGTACCGTTGAAAAAAGTTAACAGTAAATACATTCTTAAATCAACCCTGACGCCACGATTAGCAAGGAAACAATTTCAGAAGAACACAACCGGTTTGGAACGATCCCGATCATGGTCGTCGTTAGATAACGCGAATACGAACAACGAACAAGATTTCTCAAGTCAGAATTATCTTACTGTACACGTAAGTCACTGATTAATTAAGCATTTAAAGCTCACATAATTAAAGTGAGTATAATGAGAGAATATGCCTTTTTTTCGCATAGTGCAAAATTAAGCCCTGGACAAACTTTTGCTGAAGGAACGAATTTCAGAATGTGCTCAGGAATATATTCATGCAAAAATAAGTATTTATTTTGAATCACAGAATATTGATCGCACTTTTCGTTGTTCCAGAGTTTTCCGAGCACGCTCAATATTCCATCAGTAAGAATAGAAGAAGATAAAGATGCAGATTATTCCGTTGGTAGTATCACAACCATCGATAGCACCCCGCCAGCTAAATCATTTACACGCAGGCCAACTCTAGCCAAGTTACACAATTTTACAACAATGACACCTCAGGAGATCGCTCAATGGATCGATAAACGCAGTAGGATAGTATTCCCTGTATCATTTATCATATTCAATATTCTCTATTGGTCTTTTATATGGATCTGAAATTACACTATGCAATGATCAATTTTAATCGAATCTCCTCATTTTAAGTCTCGAAACACAATCTAACCCGTAAGATATTAATCAGTCAGTCACATATGAAGAAAATGATCGAGTATGATTGGTTAATTTCTTACAGTTTAAGATATACCTACTGTATTTTGGGACTTAGCCCAGACAGACGAATTTGTCAACAACAGATTTTGTAAGACAAATTTTGTAGGCAGAACATCAGCAGAAATATAACGCAGAATCAGAATTTATTAGTAGTATATTTCATTTCCTACACTTGTGACTAAATAGCAAATACTAGAAGTAGGGAAGAAATATCAATCATAAGAAATTAAGAGCATTAAGCATAGCAAAGTTCAATTGAGTTTAACTTATTGTTTATGAATACGTTCTTCAAATGAAACTTGAAACGGCAATAATTAAAATGGAAAACTTTGAGATATAAAAATTTAACGACACTAATAGAAACTATTGATTCAACCTTGACCTTGAACCCCTTGTTTGTTTTAATGGTATATAGCTGCCAATTTACTATCTCTTCTAAATAGTGGAAATGGAAATAACTAAGAACAGAAATTAGGAATTTCCTTGATGATTGAGGAAAAGTAGTGTAGAGATGTCGGTGGTTTTGGAATATTAAAAAAAATTAAATTTAGAGATAGGATATATAAGATTAAAGGGAGAAATTCTTGATCTGAGTTGAAATGAGAATTCGAGAGAGAGGAATAAAAGAATTTCAAACGTAGGGAATTTGAAGTTGATGTCATTCAGCATTATGAAGATCGTTCTAAGATGTATAAAAGCATCAAATTGTTAAATTGCTAGTTGATTTAACTCGTGATATTACTACGATAGAGAGTTCAATAAAGTTTGCGTTTTCAAGACTGAAAAATCATTTTAGCGCGCAATTTAAAGGACTTTATTGGTATATATATTACAACACTTTAATAATATCGGAATGATTTTGGGATATAAATATCCTGCCATTTCCATTCGCAATATACATGCAAGATGTAGGGCACGATTTTGTAAAGAACATAAAATTGTTTATTGAATACCAGTTTTACAAATATTATCACACACTTGTTATGAATGTTTCGTCTCGGGGCGGGTTCTCTTATATCGTACAAATATAAGAATTATATTTAATTATTATATAATTATATAATATAAATATAAAATAGCTTTATACATATATATAACGCTATATACGCACGCGCGTATGTATGTGTGTGTAATATATAAATACTTGATCATCTCTTATATAAAGTGGCGGTGTTGTTCTTTTTATATTTATTTATATACATCAAACCGGTCGTTTCTTCATTGCAAAACATATATCATCAAATTGAATGAGAATGTTAGTCTGGATAATTGATTTACCTAACTAATTCATAAATGCAGATGTGGATGGTCGATTCCTCAATCAACACTAAGCATCATTTACATTATATTTATATATTATAATTTCGCACTCAATGTAAATGTAATATAATGACATGTGTTATATCATATTTACATTGTTGAATGGCGAAACTACAATATATATCTAATATAATTAATGCACGTTGATTGTGTCGTTAATGAGTAATGAGAATAGGTGTCATTTTATGCGACACGGCATACGATAGTTGAATTCAACTTCTAATCTTCGCATTTTCATCTATACCCGGAAAAATCGGCGCACACACGCAAGAAAAAAATCAATAAATAATATCAACTTTATATAGATAAATATATACGCTATTTATGTTACTATACGCTGATTTATACTTTCGTAGTCAGACATTTTCGCAGGCCTTCTGATTAGTAGGCCTGTTTTTCGATTAAAGAGTATCTCATGTCTTTTTTCTATCAAGAGCGCAATACAGATACAACTTCCACATATGGATATATACATATATATGAATATATACATACATATATATGTATATATGAATATATATATACACACACACACACAACACACTTAAGTATGTGGTGTTTCAAATTTTTTGACAGTTTCAAAATTTTTGAGCGTATGCAAGTAAAGTAGACTATATTGAAACGAAAAATCCCATTATTTTGCAATTTTCACAATAGTTCACAGATATTAACTTCTAAAGATTTTCAAGTGAGAGCGAGCGCGGGTGTGTGTGGTACATATACGGGATGTCTCGAAATTCGTAAACCAAAATACTACAATAGAAAGTTTTCAAAAAATTAAGTAAAATTGTTTGTAAATTTTTGTTTTAAGCAATAGAGTTTGTGAAATAATAAGAATTTAAATATAGCTATGTTTACACAGACTAGCTGTGTTTAGACCAATACAAACAAGCCCGTACTTCTCTTTCTAATCTCTTCCGGACTGTTTTTTTCTTTTTACAAAAACTATAGGCAATTGTCAGTCCATACTTATAAAGTCTTATTTAGAAGGAATATACTTAAACGCTGAACTTACTAACTACCGCACGCGCGATTCATGATAGCCATCTAAATGCAATCTATATTGAACTTTTATATCTTAAAAATTACTGCTTGAAATAAATGTACACATAACATTTTTATTTAATTTTTCGAAAACTTTCTTGCCAATGTCATCAAATGTCTTGCTAATGATCTTCGCAACGTTGCTATCGACTGCGGAAGAACTTTCATTCGTTTCTTCCATACAAATCGCACATCGAGCAGAATTATTTACGTACTAAACAATACGTAATGCTCCTAATTATGATATAAAATATTATTTTCTAATTTTTCTGTCACACTCGAAAAGTTTCAAATCCTGCATGAAGAATCCATCACAAAATTTGGCAGCGCTTTTTAGCGCCTATACACTACTGTGTCTTCTATTTAATTCTTTAAAGACGATCGATTACCATATTATATAGCCATCTCAATTTGTTTTGCAAATTACTCGTTCAATTTTAAAACTTTTTGACATATTGTGGTATATATAATGTTTTATTCCAAAATTAAAAATTCAAAATGATTGATCCAATATGGCGAACAAAATTATAAAAAAAATAATCTGATTATTGTAAAACTTGGTTTTAAGGAATTGTTAACAAGTCAGCGCAAATCATATATAAGTTTAGCAAATTCTTTCTTGAAAATTACTATCCTTTTTCCAACATTTTCAGATTGTATTCAAATTCAGCGATTTTAAAAACCGAGTTCCACAATAATCAAATTTTCTATTTAAAAATTTAATCTTCTATATTGCATCGTCATTTTAAATTTTAAAATTCTAGGAGTTAAATTCTTAATGACCCGAAATTCCGAAAAGGATAAAATAAAATTTGTCATAAGTTATGTTAAAAAACTCCCATCTCTCTCCTCAAAGATTTAAACTATTAACTTTTCCACTATTTTAGTTTTAAGGAAGTCTCATAAGCTTTATACAATAAACCATTACCTAAGCTTTTAATTCTTATATCGTAAAAAATCGATTAATCAGAGTCGATTATTCTTCTCACTGTAATTGGTCGATTTCTTACGGCTTATGACTTAAAACTAAAATGATGGCTTATTGTAGAACGCCTCTCACTTACTTCGCATACATCCAAAAATCGAAAATATTACACATCAGAATTTGTGTTTCGCGAATTACTCAAGTGATTTAGAAAAGAGCAGACATAATTAATCATAGCTCCAAAAAATATTCTTCCGAATGATCTTAACGCTGTCTAGCATTTTTACGGTTTCCCAATTTAATAAATTTGAATTTAATTTTTGTCTCAAAGTAAAAGAAGACGAGTTCAACTTGTTATTACTCGAGTTCTTAATTTTCGCATCTCATACAAGCCCTTAATATACAAGATTTTTGTACAAACCTTGAGCGCTATTAAAATATAAAAGTATCCCAAAAGTGGTTGAATACAATTCGAAATTCTATAAGTATACTATTGTTTCGCGAATAATATATAATGTTACGATCGTTGTATTTCATTGACCCGAATTGGACTTCGGACGCGCCCCGTGTGTTTCACTAGTGTTTTATCGGATAGAGTCTTTAGCAATTGGAAGGAAACATACATACATATATACGCATGGGGATACAAATGCTTTGTCATGCCTTCTTATGCTTTCTTTGTTACGCGTGCAACTTTCAGTAAGGCATTTGTGTCCCCTTGTGTACATACTTCGATAGATATGCATTAATGAATTGGCAGTAAATAGTTTATATAAAATGTATTTGGATAGAAATATGTATATGTCTCGACGATTTCCAACGCCGGGTGAGTATTGAGCATTGGGTTTATATGTTTACAAAATTTTTTCCAAAAGCGGTTCTCGATCGTGTGTCCGAGTAAGTAAAATACAAATCTATATACGAAGTATATATATTATATATGTATATCCCACTAAAAATATTTGTATACAACTTTTTTTTTATCAATAATACTTCAACTCGCAAAGGCGACACGGAGAAGAAAATGAAGCTTGCTTTACTTAAGCGGATTGTATTCTTCGAGTAACGCAATCTTTAAATGCTTATGATGAAGTATTTATTCTTGAAGCACAGCAATAGATCGGCTCGAAAGTATCGTGCCGCTCAATCAAGCGGAACCGTGAAAAATTTCCGCATATGAATCTCACGTGCCTTCTGCAATCGATTCTTTAAAAATCGACCGTTGACTTTGTCATGCTAAACAGCCTATTATATAATACCTATAATTATTTGTCTGTATAACCGATTAACTTCTAAAATATTTTTCAATGAGATCGTAATATATACTAGATGACCGCTTTAACAAAGGATACTCGCGCAAAACGAAAATTTTTAAATACAAGCTGCCTAGGATGTCAAAGTACACCCGAATAGAGTAACTAATACAAACATCTTACGAAAGTCGTTCGTAACAATCCAGATAGCAAAACCTGCAGAGACAGATTTTGAGCAGAGCATGCTACCAATTTTTTATTGCAAAAGGCAACAAACTGTACACAGGGTACTATCTAACAACGTCAGCAAATTGCTGTCAGAAATATGATCAATAAAGCCTGCTGATATTCTATTTTCACTTACTTAATTTGCATATGCTTCTTTAAGCCTATTCTACAATAGAATCGCAAGCCGTAAACCATAAGAAATTAACCAGTCATAGTCGATTGTTTTATATTCATTGTTTTACAACTTGTGACTCTATTGTAAAACAGGCATTATAGGATTTATGTAGGCGTTTTCTTTTTACAAGAAGTTCCTCTTATGGAGCCGTATCCGCTTTCAATGTGCCTCAATCTGAAAAATCAGATTATGCAGCA